TCCCTCCCTCCCTCCCTCCTCCCTTGCCGGTGCACGACGACTTGTCCGGTCCTACGAACCCATCCTCTTTCCCTCTCTGCTTCCTCGCCCGTCTGCAGGACGGGCTTGCCTGTGCGGTGGAGTGGGAGAACGTGACCTCCGGGGCCCTCATGTATGGCTCCTACCTCTACCTCTTCACGGAATTCTTCGTGCGACGCTTCCTCTACCCTGCGAAATCCAAGGCGAAGACGCTTTAAGCTTGGACTTGCCCGAGTGAGGAGACGGAGAAAGCGTGAAGGAAGGACACAAGAGTCGGAGGGTAGGAACGGCGAGGCCTGTACATAATAGGCGCTTTTATTTTCATCCTCGCTTTTGGCAGAGCACCTTGTCCCCGTGGGTGTGGGTGTAGGGGGTAGGAGGGAAGGTGGGGGCATCGACCGAGGAGACGGGAGGGAGGGGAGAAGCTGCGGTCGGTCATATGTCCCGCGGGAACGAGAGGAGGTGTTGAGGCGAGGCGGGCAGGGGGGAATGGAGGGATCGGGTTGTGAGAAGACATGTTGGGGGGGGGACGATTGAGAGACTTGTCTCCGACCAGCTATCATCTACGTGTGAGTGACGAGCTTGTCAGACTGGAGCTGTTGTGGGTCTAGAATGTGTAGGAAACAAGGGGAGTGGTACACGCACAGATGGTGTACCCCGTCGGGCGGGGAAAGCACAGTAAAGCCATCGGGCGCAGAGACCAGTAGCTGCGTAGAAGTCATCAAGGGGGGCATAGGAAGGAGTGAAAGCAGCAGGAGCAGGAGGAGTACCAGAACGGACAGTATTTGCAGCGACCAGGTGAAAGCACATTTAGGCAAATTAGGGAGTTACCCCAGTCGGGGCTCCTGAAAGCATAAAACGCAGCAAGATTTCACAGTGCTTTCAAGACACGATCGTGACAAGCCGACAAGTGTCATGAAATCTAGAGGGTAATGCCGAAACGACGCTCGGCGTTGTGCTTCATGGAGGAATCAGGTTATTCATGTCTGTGTAGCAGACGCATTCCTTGAACGGTTCGAGGGGCATGGTGACAGGCTCGTAAGGAATGTAGGGACAGGCAGGGACTTGTGCGGTACATAAGAATCAGTGACCTTGCTCGGTTACTGCAGCCGATGCACCGGCCCTCTCAGGGCGAGGAGACGAGCTGAAGCGTGATATTATGAGCTGGATTGTGTCAGGAACGCTCTCAAGCGCCGTTCAAGGGGGCATTGAAAGAAATCTAAAAAGAAAGTACACATCTTGATGTTTTTGGTCGCTTGATTGAAACGAATGGTGCACGCACGTACCCATCTTTGTTCGCTGTTGCTTGTGAAAAGGATGCGATTAGACTGCTGTATTCTGCAGGCGGTGGAACACTCAGCATGCCACATGGGAGCCTCCGAAGTACTGCCACTGTTCCGTGCAGCTACCACACAAAACTACTTTTCTTATGTTGAAAAATATATTAACCCCCACGAGTCACGACTCCGAGTCAGTATTACCATGACATCTCAATTGCGTGTTTGCCCACTGGCAAGTTTAATTCTGGCATTAACGAGCTTCCTCACAATTTGTGGCACAGATTATCACGACGACCCTCAGATTCAGGAACCAATCCCGATCGCTGCAACGAGGATTCACATTGGCAGCGAAAGCATCGCCTAGCTCCCTTCCGAACCTTCCTCCCTTCTAGCTATGTCGTCCCGGACGTCCTCTCTAAGTTTTTGTCATTTGTAGCCACTAGTAGTAGTAATTACGAGTAGCAAAAAGCTGTACTCAAGACCTGCTCCTTGTTCGCTGTTCGGATTCTGCTGAAATTGCTCTCTACCTACTATAACTACTAATGGTAGTACCAGGAGGTACTGCTCAGTACCTTCTATTAGTGAGTTTTAACGCTCGTCTAGAAGCTCATTTCTTACCAAGAATTCCCTGTAGGTACCAGAACTTAGTTTTTGTGTATTTCTCCAAGTTTGGTGCTGGTATTTTTTCCTGTAAATACTTTCTTTTATATTCTAAGCGTGCGCTTTTCCAATGTTGGTGCTGTAATTGCTCCGAGCAGCTATCAGGGGATGTAATCAGAGTTAATTACCTAGCTCTTGCATCCTTTCGCCTCACACCGGCCTCTGGAAGTCATTCTTCCTACCAGACTGGCTTGCGGGTAAATGTCTTGCAAAAGCATAAGTGACTTTTTTTTGTGTGTCAGGATGTAAAAATCGACCCAATGACGGAGCAAGGGTAAGCCGGTGCTGCGGAAGCGGCGGTGCACGTGAAGGCGTGTGTGGAGCGCATGTAGGCGGGTTTAATGCCGCCTCCACACACGGACGACTTATCGATCGAGGAATTTTGAGAGACCACTGCCTTCACATACACCGTCAGTTCCGCCAGCATCCACTTGCTCTGCCCCACCAATTGATAGAACACGAAGTCCTGTCGGCGGACGCCACGGGCCCAACACCGTCCAGGGACACCCGGTGGGAGGGCTTCATCGCCAGACTGGAAAAGCCATAAGTGATAAGCGCTTGAAATAGAAGTAGAATAGTTTCGTATATTAATCTTCAGAGGTGATTGTATATAAAAATTAAAGTAAAATAAAAACAAAACGCAGGAAAACCGTTACATCGACCGTTGCAAACCGTTATTTCGAATACGAAGTACTCAGCAACACCATTCTTTCCCTCGCGAATCCGAGTACTTTCCGACTGAGATCAAGTTATTCCTTTATGCCCCTAAGTCCTTATTATTTTCGTTCGTGTGGCGATTTTCTTCCGATTAGAAAGACCTTTTCTGGCTTTTTGCGAAATAGACAAGCTATGGTATGTTAACACTTTCCGCCACCAACCACATGCATTTCTTGGTCCCGACGACGACTGCTTTACAATAACTGGCCAAAGTCATGCATGGTTCTACATTGCTTCCCACACAAGTATAACATTCATTCGTATCTTTGACATGCAGGGATAGAAAGACTATAGCAAGTTAGCGAAGGAAATTCGTTCCTTCAGGTAGTGTTTCGGTCAAGCTTTGGATGGCATGCGAGATATGCTTCGTTGAATTCGCCTGGCCCGTGACTTCCACGGATGTCACGTACAACACAATATCAGAAGTCAACGTCTTGACACCCCGTAAGCTCCCTTGCGGTTGTGTTGGCTGCACTGGTTGTCTCCAGGATTCTTGGTGCGACAAAGAATTTTCTTTGGTCTGCCCCACCTGTCTGCAAACGCACGTGCTGGACAAAGACATCACAAGTCTACCAATCTTAGAGCCGCCCGGTGGAGCGCCTGTGGTGATCACGCAAACCGACAAATATAGAAGTAACTGCAATGACGACAATGTCCTTGCTACTCAAGACGCGGAGGCCACGGCTTCGATCGGGTCACCTTCTTTACCGACTGTGCACAGAGTTAAAAGCCCCAGACATGCCAGTGCGGACACTGGTCGTTTGAATGCCTTCCTCAAATCCGTCCCGTCGTCCACCGTGCCCATTCCTTGCTCTTTGACCGTACCTCTCCCCCCCCCGAGCCTAATAGTAACGCCTTCTACTCGTCGGGCGCACAAGCGCCTGCAGCAAGCTAAACTCTCCAGATTGAGCCTCCGGTCCCCATCCCATGCGGGAGAGGACCCGCTGATCATGTGGGTGGGCCAAGAGGAAGAGAGCGACGGTACGATCGGGCAGGAGACGAACAAGAAAGAACCGCGGACAATGGCGAGGGAGGGAGAACCCGTCCAGAACCGCAGTCTCGAAGAAGCACAACCGAAAGAAGAAGCAACAAACCACGCCACTGCCTTTCCTGTCAGTACTAGCACCGCCGTCATGCCTAAGAGCTGCCGCAGTCCCTGGGGACCTCTGGATCCCCCTGCCTTGGCCGACCGCTTTCGCTCCCACCAACTGATGGAGCTCGGGGAAATTTTTGAGCTTTTGGACCGGGCACGCGACCTACTGAAGGCCGAACCCAACATTTTGACGCTGCAAGCCCCTGTCACGTGTGTCGGGGACATGCACGGACAATATTTTGACCTGTTGGATTTGTTCGCCAGGGCTGGAGGAGCGCCGGGTACCCGTGAGCACGCCTCTCCCTCCCCCCCTGCCTCCCCTGGCTCCCCTTCCCCAAATCCATCCCGTTTCCTCTTCCTGGGCGACTATGTAGACCGCGGTGCTTATTCTTGTGAAGTATTGCTGTACCTTTTGGCCCTAAAGGTGGCGTACCCGGACTTGATCCATTTGTTGCGAGGCAACCACGAGACTCGGGGGGCGACGACTTTCTTCGGTTTCAAAGAGGAATGCAAGGCCAAATACGGCCTGCCCGTGTACTATAGATTTTTGCTGGTTTTCGAGTCTTTGCCCCTGTGTGCGGTGGTGGAAACTGACTACGGGCGCCTGTTTGCCTGCCATGGGGGCATCTCACCAGAAATCCAGTCGTTGGCGGAAATTCAACGGATCGACCGTTTCGTAGAACCTGGGGCCAGTGGTTCCCTCTGCGATTTGCTGTGGGCCGACCCTTGGCACGAGAAGAAAGTGGACCCCGGCATCAATGGAGAAGCAACGGACAAGGAGCAGGTAGCCAGGGCATGGGACGAGTACCTGGCCGTGGAGTGGCGACCGAACGGGGAGCGGGGTTGCTCGGTGTATTTCGGGTACCGGGCGATCCGGCGGTTTTTGGACGACAACCATCTCCTGTGTTTGATCCGAGCCCATCAAGTGCAGGAGGAAGGTTACTCGGAGCACTTTGCCTGGTCCGTCGAGGCGGCGGCCGCGGGCGGAGATGGGGCCCCACCTTTTCCTTCCCCGCCCTCCATTCCTGGGAGGGGGATTGCTCCTCCACCCGCTCCTTCGGGCCCTGAACGGCCTTGCCCTCCTCTGGCCTCCCGTCTGCCTCCTCGGGTCCTGCCTCCCGTCGTGACCATCTTCAGCGCCCCGAATTACTGCAACCACTACGGGAACAAGGGAGCCTTCCTCCAGGTCGGCCCCACCGCGCCCGACCAAGTCACTTTCCATCAATTTGACTGCGTCTCGGCCCTTCCCACCGCCTCCTCGCACCCGTCCTGGGCCCGCCTGCAACGCCACCAGGAGCACCACCTGGCCATCATGAATACATGCCCCTACATGCCGACGACGTTCAGGGAACTGCTGAGGGCGGCCTCCGAGTTGGGGGTCTTGGCATCCAAGGAGGGAGGGCGGGAGAGAGGGCAGGAGGGAGGGATGGATGAAGAGGAGGCGTCGCCCTCCTCTTCACAGAGGGGATTGGCCTCCTCCGTGTCGGAATCTTCGATCGAAAGTGTCGTTGATTTGAAGGAAGGAGATGATGCCAGCGACGGCGGAGCTGCCACCACCAGCGCCTCCTCCCCCTCTTCCTCCCCTCCGCTTCCTCCTCCTCCTCCCCCCCACTTGACCCATCTCCACTTCCAGCAACAACTCCTGAGGCAAGAGAGGGGGGAGAGGACGAGGGCAGGAGTGGAAGAAGGGACGATCGTCTCGCTTGGGTTGATAACAATACGGGCGCCTCTTGCAGCAAGTTGAGCGTCCAAATACCGAAGCCCGTGGGGCCCTATTCCATCACATCCCCTCCATCATCATTGACGGCCTCGCCCACGACTCAAGCGTCCCGCGCCATCCATCCAAGGCACCCAAGTCATGCCTGCAGGGAGGTTCGAAGCGAGGCGTCCGATGTCGAGGAGGCAAGGCGGACGACACGGGGGGGGCAGTGGAAAGGACGCTGTGAGAAGCCCAGGGAGACCGGGACCGACAGCAAAGGTAGCGACCAGGATCATCCGAGCATGGACAGGTCCGGCGCCGTTCCCGTGGGCAAGGCCAGCGT